AAATTTCATAATTTTAAAAAAATTCAGGGACCAAACTGTAAAATTTGAAAATTTAGGGACCAAACTGTAAAATTTGAAAACTTCAGGGACAAGACTGCAATTGTAAAAACTTCGGTGAAAACTGAAAATGCTGGAATGGATTCGTAATTGCAGACGATGAAATGTAGGAGCTGCATATTCAGAAAAAACATTTGGACTAAATTGTAAAATTTTCAAATGTAGGGGACTAAAATGAAATTTTTGAAAATTCTGAGGAGTAAACTGTAAATTTTAAAAAATCAGAATATGCAGAGGTTTCGAATTTTAACAAAAAAAATCAGATGCCCCTTTTTTCGTTTGGTTTGAAATTTCATCTCATCTAGACCAAGTATAAAAAACATACATATACATACCTCCATAGATATGGATTTGGAGTGAAACTTGCAACTTTAATTGAATTGGTCAATCTCGTTAATCGCAAAATCAACGCAATTTCTTTTGCTTTTGTGTTGGTGCTTGATAAAGTTTATCAACATGCTTTATCGTGAAATGGATATATGACCAATTATTTTTTATTTTTCTCATCTCTCTTCCACTTGTAATGATGAGATAAAATTTATAGTGAATAAGCTTGAGCACCATGATAGCTTTTCATGCCAACATACTTTGAATGTTGTAATATTGTTGTTTTCACTTTCAAAGAATAACAACAATTGAACGAGTTTTGTATTAGCTCACAACTCGTATTATAGTACGATATGCTATTAAAAATCTTTATTTTGCTATTACGAGTGCAACTTGAGTTTTTATGTTGTCACTCCATGATCATAATATACATCCATAAATTAGAGAATATTTTCTCTTACAATTCTTCATTATATGTATCTTCAAGACACATATAACGAAATATTTTACTTGTCGTTTTCAAAACAACAAAATCAAGATTTAAAGAGAGCAAGTTATAGAGATGATCAAATATCTATCTCTCTTCTTTTCCATAAGTAACTAGATGTAATGTTACTTTTACTTATGTGTTCAAGACACATACCTCAAAGTAAGTACTTGTTTCTTGAAAAATGAAACAATGATATTTTGCTCGGTGTCTTATAGACACATTTTCATTATGAAATATTTGGCTTGTGTCCTCAAGGCACATAACAATAACACAAATATTTTGTGATATCATGAGAGATAAATGGATCTTTAACTTCAATGATCCAAATTTTATAGTTATGTTCATTCTTGAACTATCAAAGATAATTTTAAACTTCATGATATTTTTTTTTGATATCATTGTATCACAAATGAATACTCATTTTGAGTACATATATACCATTCAAATATCAAGGATTGAGTTTTATACCTTGAATTTATGTACTCGATTTAGGCGTCAAGCCTTTATAATTGGTACTTAGTCGTAAAATAATAGTACCTTGAGTGGAAAATATTCATTAACTCAAATATTCAATTTTGAGTATATATCATCACTTAGACCTTGAGTCTTAATATATTCAAACGAGACATTTAGTCTTCAAATTTATTCTAGGCATCAATCCTTTATATTTAATATTCCTCCACATAAGCTTTCAAGCTTTCATATTTAAACTAGGTTTTGAGCCTAAAATTTATGAACTTCGAGTTCCTTTTTCGATTGATGGAGCTTTTCAAGTTGCATAAACTAGAGAGCAAGTGGTTTTTTTTTCTTAATATACCACTCAAATCTTCGAGTCACTTGATTGCACGTGCTCGATTTGGGCTTCAAGCCTCAATATATGATAAAAATCGTTAAAATATAACATTCAAAAATTCGAGTCACTTGATTGCACGTGCTCGATTTGGGCCTCAATATATAATAAAATTGTTATAGTACATTGATCATGAACGAATAGTACTATAAATGGGGAATACCCTCTAACTCAATTGTTCAAGAGTCTTATCATTTAGACTTAAAGTACTATGAATGAGAAATACATATCAACTCAAATCTTAAGTTTGAGTATTATTGTCGCATAAACTTTGAGTCTATCATATTCTATTGAGACTTATAGTCTCAAAATGTGATCTAGGCTTCAAGCCATAAATTGATTATGATCAATTATCAATTTTCTCATTTCAATATTTTGTGGACTTGAAAAATGTCCACAAATGACAAATCTGTCATGTCTGAGTAATTTACTTGTATCTCTCTCATTCGAGATCCAATTTCAACGCTTCAACATGCTGTGAACAGCCAACAGAAAGTTCTACAACTTTCGTATTTTACATTTTATCAAATTCGGACAATATCAGGTCCGAAACGGGACTCAAAGTCTTGAAAAATGACCACAAATGACAGATCTGGCATGTCTGAGTATTTTTTAGCATATCTCTCTTGATCGAGATCCGATTTCGATGATTCAAAATGTTCTGAAAAGCCAACAGAAAATGCTACAAGTTTCGTATTTTGCATTTTCTGAAATTCAAACATTATCAGGTCCAAAACAGACATCGAAGTACAGACTCGTGAATTGCACGAAAATTCACCTACAACAAAATTAAGATGATTAATATTTGATCAATTTAAAACAAGAATAAAATATTTAAAATCAACTCCCTTTCATCTTCTATGGCTAAGGAGTCATCTTCCTTGGATCATCTTCACTCGAAAATTTACTTAGAACAATCGTGCTGATAACGTGTTGAGAAACTAATAAAGAATATAGAAGAAGAAGAGAACAAAGTAGGGAGAATATGTGATGTATTATTTCATCTCTTCAAGTGTGTAAAATACATTACATAGTGCTCTATATATAGCACTAGAAGACCTCTCAAAGGTCATGAGTTACAATGTCATAATGGGATCATCAATAGGTATTATGGTGTGATAATGGTGGGAGTGATGGTGCTTGATGGTGGTGAGTAATGGTGGTCATCCACACCTTCTAGAATTCATAACATATTTTACATAATCCATAGAATATTTTTATCTTGAAGCACTCATGTGTAGGAATATTCATATGTAGAGATTATTTTTCAAATGTTACGTCAAAGAATTTCATCCCTTTGTTACCCACAACAATAATTTGTAATAATATTACTGACACAACAATTTTATACTAATGCAAAAACAACCTCCACCCACCCATAGTTGCAATTATTACAAAGAGAACCACAATACTTATTCTAATACTACATATGCCCATAATGATGATTGTTAATTTAGATTTCACAACACAATTTATTAAAATAATAAAGCAACCTCCGACAAAGATTGTTAGTAAAATATTTTGTATATTTTGTATATTTTCAAAACATTTTATTTTCTCCTCTATCTTCTTCCTCCTCAGTCTTAGTCTTCACTCATAAGTAATTTTACATACATATTATATATCCGATACATAGATAATTAGATATGCATTGCTTTGTAATTTGTGAAATTAATTTTATACGCATTTAAGCATATAAAATGTTAATATTTATTGTTAACCCCATAATAGATTATTATACTATTTTTGGAACCCATAACATTAGAATGGAATTACAAAAAGCCACAGGATAGGACCAAAATAACATATTTAAAAAAATATGTATTTATTGTCTTTATTGATTTAATTAGAAACACGTAATTTATGCAACAATTAAATGTACATGATATCTATTGTTTCCACATATATCCATCCATATTTATATATTTACGTATATGATATAGATTTTTCCTTCGTAATAATTAATAATATATCGATCCATATATTGTAAAATTTAATATATTAATATTTAATAAATTGAGACACATATTTCTATATAATTACAAACCAAGCCAGTGTTGTTATTTAAGTCGTTTTTTGTGAATTTATCATGTATTGCTTTGTAATTTCTGAAATTAAGTTTATATGCATCTAAGCCCGTTTAATTTTAATATTTATCGTTAAACCGCACAATATATTATTTAATGTTGATTTGGCTTCACAATGAAAACAAACCGAAGACATCAAAAGATATAGATAAAATCATATGTGCCGAAATCCCAGATAAGGGAACAACATACCAAAAAATGTACGATTTGGTTCATAAGTACATGATTCACGGCCCGTGCGTTCTGGCCAATCAAAACTCTTCATGCCTGAAGGACGGGATTTGCACGAAGTGATTTCCAAAGAGTTTTGTCAACCGTACTGAGCCCGATACAGATGGTTATCCGGTGAATAGAATAAGAGAAAATGGGAGGACCGTGGTTAAGAAGAAAACATATTCCGGCAATGGTTTTGTCGTGCCTTATAACCGTACTCTACTAAAAAAGTACATGGCACACATTAATGTCGAGTTGTGCAACCAGAATAAGTCGATAAAGAACTTATTCAAGTATGTCAACAAAGGACACGATCGGGTCACGACGGCATTTTATCAATCAAATAATTCAGGTGCAACTCCTGAAAGTCGCGATGAGATAAAGATGTACTACGACTGCAGATATCTTTCGGCATGCGAGGCTGCTTGGAGGTTATTTAGCTTTAACATTCACTTTAGAGACCCACCGGTCATTAGATTAAGCTTTCATCTTTCGGACAATCAGGCTGTTGTGTTTACAGATAATGACTCATTAGTTGATGTGCTGAACAGACCGATCGACTGCGAATTAAACGATGTTCATTGCTTGGTTCCATGCGAATAAGTTGTACTCAGCTAGAAATTTGAGGTATGGAGAGTTTCCACACAAAAAAATGTCTATAAGGAAAAAGCTCACCGTTGGATGCCGAGAAAGATAGGATTCTCAATAGGAAGGGTTACTAATGTACCGCCGGGCAGGGGTAAAGACTATTACTTGAGATTGTTGCTGAACTTTCAAAGAGGTTGAACGAGTTTCGATGATCTTAGGATCACGTCTATCCAACTTCCAAAGATGTGTGCTTTGCGTTAGGACTGCTTGACAACGACAAGGATTACACAACTGGCATAAATGAGGCAAATGAGTTGGCCAATGGTGACTATGTGAGATGATTATTTATAATATTTTTTTGTCGCAAATAATATGAGCAAACCGGAATATGTGTGGGACTGTTGCTGGAAGGAAATTCGCAGAGGATATTTCGTATAGACTGCAACAACATCGTACCAATTCAGGTATGGGATACATCTTAGATTTTGTCGCAATTGACTACAAATGTTGAATTAAAAGTATATATTTTTATAATCGCCTTTTTGTTATTTTTTAATATTGTACTATATTGAAGGTCCACCTGTGTCCGACGATACTCTGAGAAAGTACGCTTTGATCGAAATAGAAAACAAATTACAAAGCAATAGCAAAAGCTTGAGTAACTTTCCCCCAATGCCGATTCCGATTGGGTCGATGACGGACGCCACGGTAAATAGATTGGTTCTCGATGAGTTTGACTGTGACGTTGATGTGATGCGTGAAGAGCTTAAGAAATAACTTTCATCCATTACCAATGAGCAGAGATAAGTGTTTGATGATATCATGGATGTTGTTACAAATGCCAGAGGTGGACTGTTCTTTATTTATGGGCATAGATGAACGGGAAAGACTTTTATATGGAAAACCTTATCGGCTGCTATCCGTTTAAAAGGCGAAATAGTTATAAATGTTGCTTCCAGTGGTATTGCTCCGCTTCTACTTCCCGGTGGCAGAACTGCTCATTCGAGATTTGTACTGCCAATAATTGTACATGAGAGCTCCACATGCAGCATCAAACAACATAGTCCACATGCAGAATTGTTGTCTAAAGCAAAGCTAATCACATGGGGCAAGGCACCGATGATGCACAGGTACTGTCTCGAAGCACTTGACAAAACAATGAAATCTATACTTGATTTAGATATGCCATTCGGAGGAAAGGTTGTAGTTCTTGGAGGGGACTTTAGACAAATTCCTCCAGTTGTGTGGAATGCGTCAAGACAAGAAATTGTTCATGCTACAATTAATTCATCACCGTTGTGGAGACAATGTAACGTTATGAAGTTGAACAAGAACATGAGACTTCAGTCGTCCTCCTCTTCCGCCAATGTAGATGCAATAACAAAATTTGCGGACTGGATATTGAGAATGGGCAATGGCGATGCTGGCGAGGTAGATGACGGTGATGCCACAATTGAAATTCCCGATGACATGTTGATTCGTGATTCTGCAGATCCCTTTTTTGGATCTTATCGAGTTTGTTTATCCCGATCTAGTACCAACCTTTTCACTCCCGAGTATTTGGAGGGCAGAGCAATTGTTGCACCCACTAATGAAAGTATCGGTTTTGTGAACCATCACTTTTTGTCGATCATAACTGGAGAGGAGAAGGTCTTTTTCAGCTCCGATAGTATGAGCAAGGAGGAGTTATTATCAGATATCAACGCAGAAATATACTTCCCAAAGTTTCTCAACACCATATCATGCTCCGGAATTCCACCGCATAAGTTGACATTGAAAAGAGGTGTTCCCGTTATGCTCATCAGAAATATTGATGAAGTCAAAGGGTTGTGCAATGGAACAAGGCTTCAAGTTATTAATATGGGAAAACACGTTCTAAACTGCAGGATCCTCTTCGGTAAATATGTTGGTGATATGGTGTTCATTCCTAGAATGAGTTTGGTACCGTCCAACTCTGCATTGCCTATTAAATTCCAGCAACGTTAGTTTTCGCTGATGGTATCATTCACAATGACAACCAATAAAACACAAGGACAAACTCTTTCTCATGTAGGCATGTACTTGCCGAGACCTGTTTCAGTCACGGACAACTCTATGTCGGACTCTCGAGAGTTAAGAGTCGATGTGGCATAAACACATTGATTAACCCAGAATGATACGACCAACGTTACAAATAATGTTGTATACGAGGATGTTTTTCAGCGTATATGAAGGTAATTTTATATACAAAAAAATATGATATTTAATGACGACTTTATTATCTATTATTTATATGTTTTGTTATTCTTTATTTGTAGGTTTATTTTAATTGTACTTCAAACTTGCAATGGACTCCGCTCGCTATGTTTCATGAAGGTTTTGTTTTTACAATGATTTCATGTCATTAAACAGTTATATTGGTATTTTTTTTGCCAGTGTTCTAAAAATCGGCCGAGGCAGCCGATTAATCGGTCTCCGAGGCGAAGGCGGTCCAAAACCTTTACGATTTTAGTGTAAAGGTTTGAAAAATCGTTTTTTTGCCTTTGAGGCGGTCTGAGGCGGTTCGAGGCGGTCAAACCTTTAAGGCGGGTCAAACTTCGATGCAAAATCGGCCAAAAATCGGTCAAAAATCAGTTGTTTTTTTTTTTTTTTTTTTTTTTTATAATTCAAAATAAAAGTTGGGATTTAATATGATTTTATGCTTTTTTTGTGTATGTTAACTATTATTGATAAAGACCTAATGATGTATGCAAGGAATGTACGTAGACTCAAAAAAATTACCTTTTTATTTTTATTTTATAAGGATATTTATGTATTATGATCTTATTATTATTAAAATTTTATAGGATATATACATGATCGAGATATAACTGTGTTTACATATCTTTTTATCTATGTTTTGAGTATTTATAAATACTATCTACAAATATATTATATTAAATTTTAAAAATTGATTTATTTCCGATTTATCACCGATTAATCACCGCCGCACCGATTAATCGTGAGTCGGTCCCTGACCGCCTCCGACCCGATTACCACTTTTTACACCTTTGTTTTGGCAACAACTTACATATTTCGTATGACAATTGTACAACATATGTAAGTCAGTTACATTGTATTGGATTTGTTGCATGCGTTTAGGGCAGTTGGTATCAAACAAAATAACACTTTTGGTATCAAACAAAATAACACTGATTGTTTGGATCAAATTAAAGATTTGAACGTTCAGATGTCATTGTGGTTTTTCAAATTTGGGACCAACGATATAATAGCTCTTTGCATGTGGAAAGTAAAACCTTCGATGTCTAGTTTTTTTCATTTATTTTGGCTTATTTCATCACTTACACAATACAAATTACTTATTTTTTTTAGTATTTCTTTGTATTATAGATAAACAATTAATCTTACTATTTTGAGAAACTTTTTTTTTATTATCAATATTAGTTTTACGATAAATACTCTGTGCGAAACTAGTATATCCTATATAATATAAAAAAATGATATGTGCCCTATATGAATGACATGTGCCAAATGTCTATGTTATACCTCCAAATTGCTTAGTTGAAGTTCAATTCATGAGTTATATTCTTCAATTGGTTAGTTGTCATTTTTAATTTGGTATGTATTTATGTTCTTTTCTATTTAATATGTGTATATATCTTATTTCTAAATTTAATATTCTATAAATTCAGTATCTTATTTATATTTTCAATATTCCAAAATATATTTATTGACTGGTTTTAAAAAAAATCAGGATACTCAAATTTCTTACGAATATTCAAATAATTTTCAGATTTTTTTTTTTTTAATATTCAAATATTAAAAAAAGGATACAACTTTTTTTTTTCAATATTTTGGAATATTCGAATATCCATTCAATAAAAAAAAATTGTTAACAAAAATGGTTTACTTTTACATTATATTATTTAATAAATATACAATAGTTTTTGTTAATAGCAGTGAAATTGTGTATTTCTACTATAAGTTCAATCTATTATATTGGATTAATTTATACAATTTGTACTTTTTTATTAATACATTATTATATTAAGACGACGGTTGTATTAATACATAATTATATGTTAATTTTTTTTTTAATTTTTATATTTCAAATTAAAATCGATTATTTTAATCTGAAATTTAAATTTTATTTCTTATTGTTTATGACAATTCGTATTGGAGATATAAAAATAATTGATAAAACACAGTTGGAACAATTATATATAAATTATATATAAAAGTAATTAACAACGCATAGTTATATACCCCACCCAATTGCCATATATATATATATATATATATATATATATATATATATTGTATTTTCAATTATTTCTTAAATTATGGAGGATAATAATTATTTAATCATATTTTTTGTGATACCGTAATTATTTTAAATTTCAAATTCAAAATCAAATCTTGAAAATTATATTTTAATGTTAGCTAATTGTTTCCATATTTACGTATTGTTCGCAGTTTCACTCATTTAAACACAACTATAAAACCCTGGTAACCTCATTCATCACCACCATTCATATTTTTTTTTTCAATTCTTAAATTCAATTCACTTATGTTCTTATGGCAATTTGTTTTGGAGACGTGCTATTTCCACCCTCAAAATAATTTATCTCACCACCAAATTAAATATATTTTCAATTTTACCCTTTTCTTCTTCTTTCACCTATGTTTTTTACAAATTTATAAACCATTTACAACTAAACTAATTAAAATATTTATAAAACTTAAGTGAATAATACTTTCGTCAGATAAATAATACTTTCGTCAGATAAAAACATTTTTAAAGATCAAAAAGAGCAGGAATTCACGTTTTTTGAAAAATAAATTAAGATTGCTTGTATGGAAGGTTATGCAATTCCTCAAGAATTGGCCAATTTGGTTTAATATAATTTTATTTCCGAAACAAAATTACATATTCTGTTGGTCATCTAATATGAAAGTTTAAATATCTGTTAATAAATATTTTCATTGTAAAAAAAATTAAAAAAACGAAAAACAATTAATAAAATAAAATAAAAATAAGTTAGAACACATGAGGATTAAGTTAAAATAATAAAGTGTGGTGGAATATAAATTTGAGAGGTATTTATGATATTTTACAAGCTTTGGTGGTGAATTGAAATAATTTGGTGGTGGAATATCTTTGTTTTGTCCGAGTGATTTTCTTGACAATATGAATCTTTATGTTTTATTTATTAGTTTGTTTGTAAGTACGCACTAATTATTTAATCATAATCAATTTTGTATTTTTTTTTGTTTTTGTTCGATATATTTATATATTTAACAATTGATTTTTTTGTTAATGATTTCTAGATATGGATGTCGTGAAGCCATGTTTACGCTATTGCCCCTTCGACATAAACTATACATTCACCACCTAACTGTACTCCCGTCACGTTTCGTTTTTCCATTTTCATTTCCATCATTATGTGGTTTCATAATTCGTTCGATTTTCATTTATTCTTAATTTTTTTTTCGATCTATTCTTAATCGGTTTGATTTTCATTCATTTCAACTGTGGTTTTATTTCTAGGTGAGTTTGTTGGGAAAAATACAGTTTTCGTCCCTCACGTTTGCACCAATTTCGCATTTCGTCCCTCATGTTCACAAAAAACACATTCGGTCCTTCATGTTTAAAAAATTCAACTGTTTTAGTAATTTCCGTCAATTTTCCGTTAAAACTAACAAAATTGAGGGTGTGCCCATCACTGACTTAACTGACAAGCTAACAGTAAATTGACGGAAAGGACCAAAAGTGTTGAATTATTCAAACATAATGGACCAAATGTGTATTTTGCATACATGGGAGACCAAACTTGAAATAGGTGCAAACTTGAGTGGGAAAAATTATAATTTTTCCTCAATTTGTTCATTTGAGACATATCCTAGCTGGAATAGTTAAGAAAAAAAACTATTATGGATAATATGAGGTAATTGGCACGTATTGTTCATGTAATTAATTATTACAATATCAGTTTTGTAATTATTAAATTAAATGCATCTACACAATATATAATATGTAAAGACAAGATTGATAGTTGAAGTTTTATACCTCTCAGTTTGACCCCAACTCAAATGTCATTTATTTGCAATTTGGTTATGTATTTGATCTATATCTATATACCATATACTGTTTACTACTCTCTCTCTCTCCTTCCCATTTTAACTGCCATTTTAGGCTAATTCACAAATAATTAAGAAAATTAATAAATGTATATGGATTCTAGAACACTTTCATAAATGTATAGTAAGGGCATCTCCAACGGTGGGCCTTAAAAATGGGGCATCAAACACTTTTTTTGGGTCTGGTACAGTATTTTGGGGCCTCTATTAAAGTTTTTTACTCCAGTGCAAAAACCCCAAATTGGGCCATCCTTTTTAATTTAATGTAAAAAAACCCTTGGAAGTTCCCTCCAAATTTTAGCTCTCCACTTTTCAGACCCCATATTTGATGGCAAAGGAAAGGGAGTCCCAAAATGGGGTCTGGTTTGATGGCTCCCTTGGAAGCGTTTTTTCAGACTCCAGCCATCAAACCGACGGTTATTTCATTTGGGGCCTAATTTGATGGCAGCGTTGGAGATGCCCTAAAGGTATCTATATTATATATAAAACTAAGATACACAATTAAAGTTATCCACTTGAGGAGATTGAGTCCACATTATTTTATAAATTTCAAAATAACCCCACTTACCATATTCACCCATAATATTAATGAATTAATTTCACATTATTGGTTTTTAAATTTTATCTCTCCTACATGTCAAAATAGTGTATTTTTATTGGTTATTGAGTTTCCTTTTTTTCATTGCTTCATATAAAAAAAGTAAATATATAAATGGACATTCCACTTAATTTGGGTTAATTAAATTTTATGCACAATATTATATTAATTGCCAAAAAACCTCAATTATCATAATCATCTATATTATTAATTAATTGATTTCACATTATTGGTTTTCAAATTTCATCTCTCCTACATGTCAAAATAG